CAAGATATTTATATAAAATACATCAATATGAAATAGATATTTAAGATAGTAAAGAAATATAAGAAATATAAGAAATATAAGAAAATAAAGAAATTAAATATAATAAAGAAATATGTGAAATCAGAGATCGCTAAGAAATTAGTGATATCTGAAAAATCAGAGAAATGGTAGAAAGTTGAAAATTGTGATCGACATGATTACCATTCGTTAATTAGGTTAGACGCAGTATTATGCGTCATAACAAGGCTATCACTAATAACATAGCATAGCTTTAAAGAGATCTGAATATGTCTATTTTATGCTATATGCGGAAATACATCTTAAGCTAAGATGCATGTTACATCCTGAACGATCAGGCCTTGTTATATTAAGCTTCATATTTAAATCAAATAAAGCAAATTGTTTACTCAATGCTATTTTATGGCAGTCTATTCAGATTAGGGCCAATGGTTTTATTATTTTGTGCAGCTTGTTCACAATCTGATGATATATTAGATCTTTTATTTTTTCATCATTTAGAAGTGTACTATTTTTTCCATTACAGCAAAAATACCACTATAAGGGTAATACCATCATGATGATTAAATCGCTTTACTATTGATACATGCTAATACTTATCATATCATACATTCCAGAAGGTATAACAGTCACAGTTATTTCTTCTCCTTTCAAATATTATTCAGCATGTGCTTTCAGCTGTTTCATAGCATGGTATTGGCTTCCTCTGCCACATATAGGTTTAACAACAGCAGGGAGTTGAATATTGTTCTTTTACAAAGTATCTAAATTTAGATTATTCAGCTTATATAAACCATTCAAGTATTATTCCCAATAAGGATTGCATGAGAAACTAAAATTCCATAGCTTCTCATTAGTTCATTCGCAATCCATTTGTTATCAAACTTTTGCATTTTTGATAGAGGGTGGCCAATAAGTCTAATATCTTCTCCAAGTTTCATGTAATTTAGTGGATGGGTATCAAATAAAATGGTATTTGCCTACAGTGTCTTTGTTCCTTTGGCAAGTGCTTCATTAATCCCTTCTTCCGTATCAGGAAAAACCCAATCCATATTAGAGATTGAACAAGAGTTATCAATAGGGGTAATTACGGGGATGTTATTAGATTTCAATGCATATCCAATATCTGCACCACTATCGCTATAACCACCAGGCTTCATTGGTTTTCTACTTCCATCAATAACGGAGGTTGCAATGCTTGATATAATATAGCAGTTAGGGTGAATTCAAAGCTAGAAACTGAGTCATTAACATCTTTCTTCCGTCACAAAATTTATAATCATTATTTAATCTAAGTAATTAACATCATAACTAATTGGAATATATGATGTGTATGGCATAATAACGCGTCGATGCTTATAAATATTGGATAAATTTTTTAGCATTATAGGGGCGCTATCATTTACGTAGTACAGTTTCCAGTAAATTCGGTACGACCATGCCATGTAAGAGCCGGTGATTATCTATTATCAAGATTTGTGAGTGATTCTTTAAAGGTGATGTAGTGGAATACCACCATGTGATATAATTATATCACATGGTGGTATTCCACTTACCCTAGATTATATCACCACCATAT